CCTACAACTGAGCTTAAACCAGCCCAGATGACCACTTAGTCACACACATACACGTCCCGGGGAAATCCTAAACTGGTGGGGCCAGACAGATCAGATCCGAAGGGAACAAGCAAGTGGAGAAGGCATGAGGTTGCCTGATCTTTGTGCTGTTTTTTCTTAGAATCTGCCCACTGGAAGGCCAGTAAACCCAGTAAGGCTCATGCCCACCCTCTCCCCTGCAAAGGGCTTATTTGGTGGTGGGGGCTGCAGGTCTGCTGCCTGCGGGGCCCTCTGGTTTTTCATTCCTCCTCTCCCTGTTCAAGGAGACCAGAGCACCAGAAATGTACACACTGGAGAAGGGTTGGCACGGAGCAAGCCTGGATTATGAAAGCAGCCAGGATTATCGGGAGGCGGGATAAACTCAGCTGAACTTCAGGTCAGGGATGTCACGGGAAAAGGGCAAGGAAGGGCAGAGGCACTGCTCAGACCCAGGACCTTCAGGGTCACCATCCCATGGGCTTGCCAGGGCTGTAGGACTCCATGTGCGCAGCCAGGCGTGGGCATAGAGGGTGCGGTAAACCCTTAGGGCACAGCTCCAGGCCAGTGATGCCAGGGCCTGGGATGGGGAAGGACCTTGCTGGGTCCACCTCCCAAATATTCCCCTGCTTGCCAAAAAAGCTTCCCCTTTGGCAGCTGGTGGGGCGAATCCTCCCCACACAAGGTGTTTAACTCTATCCCAACCAAAACCAGTACAGGGAAGGATCCACCATCCCCCCACAAGCTCTGTAGCTCTTGCTGTGGCACATGGGTGGTAAATGAGTCCCCCTCCCTCATCTGGGGCAGGAGATGCTGGGGACTGGTTGGAATCAGGGAGGAGCACGCTGCCAGCCAGTGGAGCCATGGTTGGGTTGTGTCCTCCTTCAGGCTCCAGAGGCAGAGGTGTTGGGGAGCTTGCCCAGCTCCCACGCCCACCAGGCTGGGACCAAGAAAGCAAGGACTGGTTTCCTGGGGTGGCAGGAGGCAGCTGCATGGGATGGGGAACCCACAATGCCTTGTAAGCCCCTTGTAGGCATGGGGCACCCCCTCGCAGCCCCCAGCCTTTTCTGAAGCAAGTGTGGAAAAGCTGCATCCCCCTCTGGCCTGCACCATATGAGCGATGGATCGCTGGGAGCCACCCCTGGCTCCCTCCTTCAGATGTCCCCTCTGCTGCCATCCATTCCCCTCCCTGTTTCAGTAGGGGACACACACAGAGTGGTGTCAAACGGTGACTCAGGCTGCACATGAGTAACCGGGGCTCATGGGGAGGCTGGCACAGCCTTGTGCACCCACTCTCTGCAGGCTCGTGGGGCCAGGGGATGGCTTTAATCAAATCTGCTCCCCAAGGAACAAAACCACAGGAACACATCTTGTATGTGGCAACTGTTGGCCCAAGTGTGCATGGTGCTCCTTTGCCAAAGGTGACCATCCCCATAGCAGGGCTGATGGTACAGATGGTGTGTCCAGTCCTCAATGACAGCAGTTGCCTTCTCCCATATAAACCCTACACTGCAGGTTTCACTGTATCTCATCACAGTGGACAAGAAATAGAGGTAGCTGAAGAGCAGAAACGTCTCCCATTTTCCTGGCCTTGATACAAGCAAGGTGAACAGCTGGGAGCAGAGTCTCCTTCAGCCACCCCAAGCAGCTGCACTACAGCCTGTGAGCAGCACCTAGAGGGGACCAACACCCAGAGGAGCAAGTAGCAGCATCAGAGCATCAATCCCCCCCTACATTTCCACCTGGCCAGGCGGGTTGC